GGTGGGATCTTGGACATCCTTCAGTGTATGACTGGTGGTGCTGATGGTTCAAGAAAATGACGATTTAAACACGACAAAGAAGCTTTCAAGGTTAACTCTGTTCTCTTTTTTTTTTAGGGGCAGATAAACTGAACTCTGCTGTGATTTAACTGAAGTAAGCTAAGAATTCATAAATCAACCCAAAAGGAGGGGGGAAGAGTGACAGAATAGCTAGCATTGATATCCACGATGCAAAAAAGCAAATATTGTAAGATCCTGAAACTGTTTAATACATTTCATGGCATATCGACAAGGACTCTTAAAATATGACTTCATTGATATTGTGTAATTCAAAAAGTTCCAATCAACAAGAAAAGCCCTGACTCTTCAGAAAGAAAATAGGTAATGAGGAAAAAAAGGACACACAAAACAGCTACCGCGACCGTAATACGCTAAATATGTATCACCTGAACACACCTTCTTATATTTGCATCGCCAATGAATGGGGCAGCATAAATATGCATGTCGGAACAAGAGAAATGTAGGTTGGCGTTGCTGAGATTCTCTTTGATCTCTGTTGCCATCTCTTGTCTTGATGAAACGAAAGTAATTCCAATGTTCCAAATAGGAAGAGACCGACCAAGCAGACGGGATAAAGTGCAGAACAACCATAGGAACGACAATAATATAATATGGGAATCTGTCGAATACACCACGCGACACTCCTCACACTCACCTTTTACTGCATCCCCACTATACTAATACCTATGCATCCCGTCTGCTGATCTTTCCACTTTTCCTCTCCTTTGTCATGTCCCTCGCACTTGTAAAGTGCTTTCAATGAGTCTTGGTTTCCTGATTCCGCCAACGATAAGATTTAGTAGTAAATGGAATAAACATTTTTCAGCTATTACTGATTGCCATTACCTTGCGATCAAGCTCCTCAACTGTCGGCTCCTGTGGCCGCGGCCCCCACAATAGCTCGATATCCACCATTGTCAACTCCTTCTTGTCTAATAATTTATCCACCAGAGCGTTCAGCATGTCTTTGTTCGTTTTGACCAGCGTCGTGGCGAACTCGTGGGCGGCCCCTACCAGTTTCTTGGCCTGCATCTCCGCGAGATGTTGGGTTTTGTTGGAGTAGACCGTGAAATCACGTCCCGCCTGGGTGTACTCGGGATGGTAAGCCAGCAACCCCACGCGTGAGCTCATACCAAAGGCGAGGAATTCCTTCAGCGCCATGTCCGTCGCGCGCTGCAGGTCATCCATGGCGCCCGCGGAAGGTTCGCCCAAGAGCACCTCCTCCGCCGCCCGCCCGCCCAGCATCACGACCATCTCCGCGAAAAGGGTAACGTTGGTTTGGTACTCGTGAAACTCAGTGCCAGCGCGCTGGGTGTAGCCCATGGCATGCCCACGCGGTGTGATACTGACTTTTAGCACGTTCTGCACCGACGGTAGCATCCACGCGGTGAGAGCGTGCCCGGCTTCGTGCACGGCTGTTCGGTGTGTCGAGTTGGCGCTTTGCCGATTACGGTGCTTTCGGCCTAAAAGAATGTTGTCGAGCGCTTCGAGCATATCGGGAAGCTCCACCAGGGGTTTCCCCTGGATCCCACTTTGAAGCGCAGCCTCATTCAAGATGGTCGCGATGGACGCCGGGGAAATCCCGGGGGTGAGGTGCGCCAGCTGGTCCGCCAGCGCCACATTGCTGATACACTCCTTTACGGGGAGAGGATTACCTTCCTCATCCTTGACGCGGCCCTTGGGATCCCCAGTACAAATGCGATTCAGATAATGGGCAAAGATTTCCTTACGTGCGGACAGGTCCGGCATTTCGATCGCTATTTTTCGATCGAAACGTCCCTCACGCAGGAGGGCCTTGTCGATATTATCTTGAAAGTTGGTCGCGGCAAGCACGATGATGGGGTCCGAACTTGTGCTGAGGCCATCCAACTCGGCAAGCAACTGATTGATGGTCCGATTCTCTTCGCTACTAACGCTGCCACCCGCCTTACCGCCGCGGGAACCGATCGCGTCGAGTTCATCGATGAATATAATCGACGGAGCGGCCTCACGAGCCTCAGCAAAGAGCTCCCGAACCCGCTTAGGACCACTACCACCGACGAGCTCAATAAAATCAGCACCATTGCAGCTGAAGAAAGGGACGTTGGCCTCGTTTGCCACAGCTTTTGCAAGCAATGTCTTACCGGTTCCAGGTTCCCCTGTAAGCAGGCAACCCTTAGGCAAACGGGCACCCAGTCGCGTAAAGCGGTTTGGATTCGTGAGGAAGTTTACGTACTGTTGCACCTCCTCCTTCGCCTCTGGGATACCAATGACATCCTTAAACTGGGTTCCCTTGACGTCAACACGAAATTGGCGCTTTTTAATGGGCATCATATGCTCCATAAGGTCCGCAAATGTATTCCCCCACTTCGGGGTGGCGGATGATCCGGGAAATGTGAAGCGGCGCATATAAACCCATGAAATCGCCAGCGGCAAACCAAACCAAAGTAACGGCCCAAGTGTGGGACGAATCCAATTTTCCTCTGTGCGACGACGGTGTTGCTCGGCGTCTTTCTTACCACGCTGGTAATCCTCATCACTGGAATACATGAATCCTACTCTTTTAGCAACTTTATCAAAAATATATAATACGGGTGTGTATGCAGCGTTCGACTTCCTTTTGTGAACAGCTCCACAGAAATACTTTCAATATGTTTAATAAAACCTATTTGTTGGGCTCAAAAGAAGGATCTAATAAGAAAGGTAAGGCTCCGTGCTTGTCGAAGCGCTAGAAGGCTATGGCTACTCTCATATCTCCTTATTTATCGGGTGACCCATATTAATACATAGATATATTCTTGTGAATGTATTGTGAAGCAAAGTGGTGCAGTGATTTATAAAAGGAAGAGTAAGGGGGATAAACTAATACATGCTAACTTCTATATTATGGCTGCTCTTCGATAGAACTCAGGGATTCACACTCCTGGTTACCAAACGTACTTTAGTCCAATGACCTCCTCATTCTCCCTCAAAGAATACCTTGTTTACATGGGACACGCACGCAAAAAAATTCGAAAGGCTTCAGAAGTAAAAACAAACACCACCCACTACATCGGCAACAAAATATCAAAACCAGATAGGTGCATATAGTAGTTTATTTGTTCTTTGCTCACAACTTTACTCAATTCAAACTCTTCATCAAAACCTCAGGTGTCCAGTCGCGTGGACGTGGCAAACTTTGACGCGGTGGCATACGCTAACCGTCCTCGTAGAGGGATTGCTGAATTACTTGATGGGGGAAACACCTGCGTGGTCGTGCTGACTTCCATCTCATCTTTTCTAGTGCTACATCGCTCGGAAAGGGTTGGCAACCCAGTACTGATCGAACCAACAGCATCAGTACGCTGTGGGTTGTTGGAGAGCAGGTAGGCTCCCAAAAATGCCAGTGGGTCCGGGGGTTGGATCTTAGCTAGCTCCCGGAGTCCACACAATAGTAGTGGCAGCACACAATTCTCAAGGTATAATTGGTCCGGTTGGGCATATAGTGGGATTGAGTGTTTGAGGTCGAAAGTACTGTTGGGATGAGAGTTAAGGTAAGCCTCCATCGCTTGTAGCTCTTCATCAGGCTGATAATGTTCATCCACGTTCATGTTTTCCTCTACGCTCCCTTTCCTGTGGGGTAGTGTTGTAGTTGATTCCATTAACCTAAGCAGGTAAGAAATTTTTGAATATGAATCTAACTAAGATATACTGAATAAGAAAGTGGGACCATTCTACAATGGCGTATGCAACACCATGGAGAGACATACACGTGAACTTTTCAATTCCTCATTTACTATTGTTGTTATGTTCAACCTCATCTTTTGCATTCTCAAGTCTTGGTAAAGATGAACAGCCCTGCACATCTTTCTGATCTAGCAATCCGATGAGAACAATAGGGCTTGATAAGAAAGCTCTTCTGGATAGTCCCCTTAAAAGAAGCGGAAAAGCACAACATCCCAATATTTTCGCTTCTTTAGCACTCCAAATTCGTAAGAATTGTAACGCTAAAAGTTATGAAAATTCCAGCAAAGTGGATTCAATCCAAGCCAACAGACTCTCATGAAATATTTGACCTTAGCTTTCAAATAACGGGCAAGAAATCTCAGAAGGCAATGCCAAACCTATATCTAGGTATCTTGAGAAAAATAAATTCTCAACTCGAGGATATAGTTTTAGGAGCCTATAAAGTATAGAGAGGGTGTGTAAGATACAAATGTAGGAGTATATATTGAATAGAAACACACATAAAAACAAGGGTTTATGCCTCTTTAGTAGTATTCTCATCTTTATAAATCATATAACAAAAGGATTTTCAGGGGAAAAACTTTCTTCTGAATTTGATGATGCACTCTCGAGAAGCAATTATTTACACTGGCCATTCTGGGCTCAGCTCTCACATAAGATAAAACTATGTCATTACGCATTTTTTGTGATGCATACTATTAACCTAGGTCATATTTTTTCCTCAACATTTCTTTTTTTTTGCAACGCTCTAGTAGGGGAAGGAGAAATGCAAACTAATTTCAAAAAGAGAGTGGGAAAGTAAACACAGCACGAACCAGCCATTTGGCCGGAATAACACTCCCCACACAAAAATAAGACAAACTTTGTATATTTTATTTTCCAAATGAAGTACTTTTTATAAACTATTGCTTCACCACAGTACCCTTGTTCAACAATTTACCAATATTGCTAATTTCCCCTTGTCTTTGAGTTTGCTGTTCAAAACTATTCTAATGCTAGAAGTGCATTCGTTTCCTACAAGATGATTTACGCCTCTCCTTGAATGAATGTATAAGTTTATCAATCTTACCCCCTCTACTAAACAAGAAAAAAGCAAAAAAAATGCAATATAGAATAATATTTTACCCCTTCTTCTTCCTAGCCTCGTAGCAGTCCACGCACGCACGCACCGGATCTGAGCCTTTCTTTACAGTTACATGAAATGGTGAGCACGTCGCACAGAAAACGTACCCACACACCCGGCAGTGGTGGCGACGCCGCATTAGGCCAAATTCATTTTGGCATCGATTGCACGCCTTAGCCACGCCGTTCTCCTGCCACTGCACCTCATCCCGGTCGTCGTCCTCCTGACGCTTCTTCTCCCGCTTGCTGCCCTCTGTCACCGGCGGGGTGTACTGCTGGGGGCGTGCGCCCCCACACATATCGCACTTAAACAGCTCAATACGGTTCACAAAGGTGCAGGCAGGGCAAGGCCACTCCACGGGGCGGCCTCGATCTGACTCTGCCTCACGAATCTCCCGCCGTCCCTGCGGGCCCGTGGAGGCCCCGGTCGAAGTGGAGGGCCGTGCAAATGCAGCCCCATTCGCAGGGGCCAGGTGGCGTGGTCGCTGCCCACTTTCACAGGCCTGGCATACCGCCACGCTCACGGGGTTCTCGAGGCTGCACACGGAGCACGGCCAAATAGTGGGCAATGACGGGGTGGAGTCTACGAAGCCACTCGCGGGGGATGCGCTGCCGCCCCTACCGCCACCGCTGACCCCCGCCGGAGAACTCATCGCGGCATCGCTCTCCCCTACCAGGGGGATTCCATTGCGTTGATAGCCATTGCAGGCCGTACAGTTCGAGCGCGAGGGTTCATTGATGGTCGAACAGATGCTGCAGCGCCATCTGGTATTCATCGTAGAGACAGGTTTTGCGGCCGAATTTTGCTGATTAACACGGCTCGACACGTTGTCATAGGTAGCCCGTGCGAGAATTCCATTCTTGTGGAAGGCGCTGCAGACCTTGCAGCTCTCCCTAGAGGCCTCGTTGGGGGCAAGACAAACATGGCACTGCCAATTTCCACTAGACCCCGGTACTTGCGGAGGCTGGGGGGCGTGCATGGAAGTAGGTCGATTTTTATCCGTGCTTGCTGGTGGTACGGGGTTCCGTTTCGCAAAGCCTGGTCGTCCTATGCCGCACATCTCACACTCATTTCGATCTAAATCATTACGGTAAGTGCACTCCACACATCCCCATGTGTTCAACTCACGCAACTTCTGCTGCTCCCGTTCCTGTTCCAGCTCTAGCTCGCGACGCAGACGAATAATTTTTCCCAACTGCTCACGGTCTTCATCCTCCTTCAAAAGGTTAGGAACCGGAGAAACTGGATGTGATGGAGCTGAGGAAGGTACCGCGGCTTGCAGGCTGGGTTGATAATACACGCTGGGGTACGCCCCCGCATTTGGGGGAGCGGCAGAAGCTTGATTATTCGAGGTCCATGGTGGAACTGTTGCAAGTCCATCAGCCACGACGCGCTGCAGCTGCGGCGCCGCGTACGGTGTGACACCCTGCTTATACGAGATCACAGGATTGCCGACGGGAGGTCGTTGGAATTGATCTTCACCGTAATCGTATGGTGGTGGTGGCGGAAGTGCACTATTTACAGCATAGAGCTCAGGTGCCGATACTGGAAGTTGCCCAGGAAGGTATTGTTGTTGGGGGAGGGGATTTGGCAGAAGTGGTGATTGTGTAGGGGCACTGGTGATGCGTCCGTTGTTACTCCCAAAAAGTTCATCCAGATCAACCGTTGGACGGTTTTGCTGAGCCAAAGGTTGTTGGTAAGAGTTCGAGTGCATATTTACAAAATGCAAAGTAACTTCAGAGTAAACAAGAGAAAACCAATGGATGTGTATTCGTTTCGAGAAACCACCGCAGGAGAAAAAAAAGAAACACTTATGCTTTCCTTTACTCAAATTTTGACTCCAAACTAAAAGAATGTCTTCTCAGATATTGAAGTGAAGATTGCAAGGAGAAAAAGGGAAATAATTGGAAACTTCAAGCAAGTCGATTGCTAACTATCTTTCCTCCCATTACCAAACAATAGGATTCATAAAGAAAGGAGACGAATGGAGTAAAATAAGCCTTTTCGCCAGGCCTCGCCTTAACTTTTAAGAAAGAGTGTAAATTGAAGGTTAAAAGAAAAATTCATTTTTTATAAATTTGAACGATGAATATTTTGTGCATTTGTATCAAATATATAAAAAGTGAAATTTTATGTTTCGCCTTAATGTTAACTCGTGCCTTATTGAAATAAAAGATAGAGAAAAGCACCTCACAGACACTCTTTATACTAATGAACAGACACGTTTTGTCAACATAATTGGCACTGCTTCCTATTTTTTCTTTCTTTTTTTTTTGGGGGGGGGGGGAAACACCATTCAGTAAACTACTCAAATGATGGTGTGCCCTATTTACTTGATCGCTTGGCTTACAAGAAGATTTTGCACATGATAACTGTGAGACTTTGATAGGAATCCAATGACACTGTGATAAAGGAAAGTAATAACAGCAATGATAACATAGCTATTACGATCATCTATCCACCTTGGATTCACCGACAGCAAACTCAGGTGGCTTGAATTCTTATTAATTTTATTATAGTTTGGCTTAGATTATTCGAACTTCGTCATTCCATTATTTATTGTCTCTACGTACAATTATAATGGCATTCACTCGAAAATATGAAGAAAAGAATGATGATGATAGATATAATATGCTATCTAGGGAGAAATTTTCGACATCCAATTTCCAATACTCAAGGAAATACGTAAAAACCTCATCCCTTGTTATCCTTTTGCATAAGTCCATCACTAAATATCTTTTTCTACTTCCTTTACTCCCTCTTTATCTTCATTATTCTTGGAATAGAAGGAAAAAGATACTTAAATATCAATAACTGGATTTAAATACACTTAAATTAGAATTTTATTGACACTCACGCGTTAATGCGGAAAAAAAGGAAGGAAACCAGTAAATTAGATCGTTCGGGCTAACTTTGATTCGAGGTGTTTTCCTTTTTTATTATTATAGAGCTGGGGCATCCCCATTACTGCAAGATAAATAACTTATCCACGAATATCTCAAGGTATAAAAACACATATGAGTATAAACTTACGCTACATTTTAAAAACGTTGAATAATTCAACCTTTTATGGTAAAAAGGCCACTAAAGACAAGGCACTCAACAGCTTTTGTTAATCGCTTTTTATGTAATTTAACAGAAAAGCACAGTAAAGCAATTGTATATTTAAAGCAGCAATAATAGTAATGACAATTTTAGGCTTGAAGACTGAACCCATTTCAGTACTATTCCCTTATCCGCAATACATATATTTGTATATCGAATTAGTATGCAAAACTGCCATATAAACACGCTACTGTTGACATCTGTCCCTTAGGGAAGAGAGGGATATGACAATTAGAGGGAGAAAATAGACCAATTTCTTTTTGGTTAGCATGAAAAATGAGCGAAAAGTATGAAACTAAAGAAGCTAATTGTAAGGAAATGGGAAAAAAAACATATAGAAGATACTAAAATTCAAATGTCACACGGCCTACAAATACTTGAAAATCAAGTCAAAAGTTTTTACTAACGTTTATTCACAAAAGTCCTTCTGGATCTTTCATAATTGTTCCTATTGAACACCTCATACAAAAAAGATAAACGCGCTAATAGAGAATGGATATCAAATAAAGTAAATGAATACAAAATCACTTTATTTCAAAAGAGTAAAGGAGAAGGGAAAATAAATCAGTAGAACATCAAAAAACCAAGCATTAAAAAAGTAGAAAATGATGAAAGGAAATGAAAAGGGTAAAAAAATGAGATTATCAGTTCTCCAACCATTTTAAGAACAACGTTGAAATAAATAATTATATGCACAATCTTTTGCTTCGATTGCTGAATTCAAACAAAGAATCTTATCATAGAAAAAGAGTAAGATTTCATACGAATCAATGATAATATTTGAAAGCTATTTTAAATATGCATATGGTGAACAAAAACAAACGAGGTGGATACTCGCATCGGAAAAAATGCAATCACATTTCTTTACCCGATGATTTTCATAATATTGTTTTGAAAAACGTATTCTCATATAGAAAATAATAGAATTAGAATTGGAATTGAAACGATAGCAACACGATTTGAGCTAAAATAAATCAATGTTAAGATCAATTGGGTATGTTATACGAGCATATTATTTGAAGTAATTCATACATCGCACGTGATGCATCACGTAAGACGTGAATGCGGAGCAAAAAAAAGCTCTGTGCAACAAAATCATGCAAAGCCCATGAACTATAAAAGTAATATTGAGCTGTGCACAAACAAACTTATTCCCCTAAAGACCGAGTGATATACAAACGTTCAAATAGACTGTTAAGCTATTGAAATATGTCTTGACAGGCAATTTGACGCAGGCCATCAAGAACGTAACACAAGTAATTCATGTTATCATAATAACAACACCGCCTCCCCCAGCATCACGGCACACGACTTTCCCATTGTGAGAGTGTGTATGAAAAAAAGTGAGACTCCTTTTTAGGAATTGCTTCCCTGTGATGCCCACTCTTCACCTGTGTTCCCTTCTTTTCTTCGCTATGGCTGACATGGGTGGTATGTGGTGGTATCTTTTCAATATTGAAGCAAAGGGAGATACCCCTCGCCTTGTTTCACGAGCACGGCCCCGAGTGCGGCGGGGTAGGCGTAGCTGGTGACCGCTGGCGGTTGCGCCGTCACCTGGGCGTACCACATGGGGGTTGCCCCGAGGGGAATTCCCACGGCACCCGTAGGGCCCGTCGAGGGAGGGGCATAATAGGCCGCCGGCGAGGACGTCAGCTCGCCGTAGAACGGCCCCTGTGGGAATGGTGCGACGGACAGCGGAGCGGGCTCGCCCAACAGCTGCGGACTAGCATACACGGTTGCGGGGTAGGACGCGATGGGGTAGGCCGTCGTGGAGGGCAACGCAGGAGGGCTGGCGAAGGTGATGGGCGTCCCTCCTTTCTTAGGTGGTACGGCAAACTGGACGCGGAGGGCGTTGGTTTGTGTTGGAAAGATCCACTTCTCATGCAGCGCCTCAATTGCGCGTCGCGCCATTTCCTCGTTTTCATAGCGGACCCACGCGCTGCCCTTGCTCCGTCCAGAGACCTCGCGCATCACCTTCACCTCTAGCAAGTTACCATACCCACCAAAGATAGCAGAAAGCTGTTCCTCGGTACATAAAGGCGGGAGCCGTCCAACAAACAGTCTGCTACATGTATTCACCTTGAAATGAGAGTTCTTATTTGAAGAGGAAATGGTGTTAGATGTCAGGTTGAGACTGTTTTCTAGCGAGTTTCCAGGACACGGATACGCTGCTGTGGGGCCAGCAGGGGTGTGTTGTGGACCCGCTCCGATGGCACCATTGAGGTTAGATGGACTCATGTAGGCGCTGGGAGAATTGCTAAGGCGGTGTTGATTGGTGCTATCTGCATATGGGGTGATCGCTGCCGCCTGGATATCTCTCGGTTTATTGATGTGTGTAGTGGCTCGACACGAAGCCAAATTCTGCGTCCCATATGAAGGTAAAGAGAGCAAATTATCCATTGGTTGCTGTTGGCTTACTATTTTATGTGCAAAACCGCTGGCCTGTAGCATCAAGAACAATTCAGCTTTATATTCGTCAAATAAGATGGCGGGGCACACCGAACGCACACGTGACTGACGAGAAAAAGAGTCAGTGTGATATACAGATTATCTAAAGTAGCAATAACAAATAAAATGATGATATTCTTCTGCTACAGAATATGATAATTCTAATTTGGTCTCTTTATAATGAGAAGATATTAAAGTATTTAAAGTAAACCGACAAAGGAGTACTCGTTGCGGGGGATTTCTAAGACTCGAAGGGTGCTACGAATTGTTTTGCAGTAGGCTGAATTGAATAAGGCACCTTGACTAAGTAGGAGAATGGACAACTTGAATCGAATAAACGGGAATCTACAATTAAAATAGGAAAGAAAGATACACTTAAAAGGAATTAGACAGGGGTTTCCCCGTCTTTTTTCCTGTGCAAACGTAGAATCTTGATTTTCGTTTATACTTCAAATTGACAAGCTTTAGTAGTGAAGGTGAACAAGTATTTATTCGATCGCGCAACAAAAGGTTGACGGTAGAGTGGACTTGAACGCAAGGGAAAACTTCAATTTGGTGGTATGATGATAAGAATGCTAGTGTGAAGACGTCGAAAGGAAAAAAGCGGAAAAAGACCAAAGGGATTTAATATGGGGAAATAAAGCAATAGTTAAACAAAAGAAACTTCATATCCTTCTCTATGTGTGAATAGACGGAGCAGAAGGGTAGATGACAAACAGTAAAGAGGGCAGAAAAACAAAGAAGAATAATAATGTTAAGATAGGGATAAGGGAATTGCTAAGAATTCCTTCATAACGTTATTAGCATGGGAAAAAAAGTATAACTCACATGCAGGAAACGAAAAATGTGGAAAGTCTCTTTAAATATACTGAATCATATCTAAGTTGCTAGATTATTTCTGATAGAAAAGCCAAATTCATTATAAAGCGAGAGGCTATGCTTACCCATGGTGCCATAAATAACATTCAAATCTCCCTATCTAGACGCGATGACAGATCTCGAAGCATTGTGTTATGCGATATTGAAGCCGCTATGCATGATAGCAGGGATAAAAGTTCGTATTGAATTCATTCTTGACATCATTAACTTCCATTGGCTCATTGTACTGCGAATTTTAGGGCTATGTTGCAGCCTGCATTCAATTTTACCAGCTTCCCTCACTCTTTGGGCTAATAGTCTGGAGAGTAAATCACAATAAGGCTCATATTTACCCCTTAACACTATAAAGACATGCAAAGTATACACTATAGAATTGATCCTTCAGCCTTCGCCACCCTCACCAGAGTAATTGGAGAATAGAAAGAAGCTGCTACATTTGTGCAACTAAGTAAAGCTTGATCTCCTTAATAAAGAATAATATCAAGTTCAACTTGCAGTAAGCTCGTCGAACGCCTATCAGACAATGTGCTATCACCTATACGTTGTTCTACTTCATTTTGGTTGGAAACAAGAACACAAAAATATCTGAGACATTTTCAGTGAAAAGGGAAGTGGGTCTGTCGCGTCGTGAGGGCTAGAAAGTGAAGTCCGGTCATATGTGCGATATCAGTGTTATCAGCTTTAAGTAAATCTATAGATGTCTTTGTAGTATACTGTTGGGAAAAGGAAGGAGGGAATAAAAGTAACATGTAGGTTGATTTGGGCATATGAAAAGAATAACATAGAACCGAACGACAACGATATGTTCGTTAAAAAAAAAAACTTTCTTACTTGACCCTTTGTACGCTTCCTTTTAAAATCTCTCTAAGATAGGCTTATGAGTACTCATAATAAAGTGATACATTCTAAAATACATTGATATTAATGAAAAGAATCACTCTCGCTCAGCAAAATGGTAAAAAACTGTGCAATCATTTGATGGATCAGACAGGCACTTAATATTTATAGCATACTTAGCAAAACGCATCCGCACATCATCTGATGGTCTGCGATGCCCTAAAGTGAAAGAAAGAATTGATTCACTACCAGAAGTAACAGTCACTTTTTGATCGCTGACTACCCACCCATCAGTGGTAAAGGGCTCTAAAGCATTGACTACACACTCCGCGGAAGGACCTCCCTTTACGCTACCGAATATCAGATTCTTGGTTTCACCAGCAGTGAAATTAAGTGTAAATGGAAAGTCTTCGGAGCATCCCTCAAGCGAGAGCCTGAACGGGCTAACGCGCTGTCCATCAACGTAGTCAGGGTGCTCACTGGATGTGCATCGGATATAAACCCTTTTCAAAGTACTCCAACCGCTTAGCGCAATAGTTCGCTTGAATTTTCCAGCGATTATGCAGATAGCAGTGGCATACCTCCCTGCATATTGTGGATAGAAAAGTGCTGGAACAGTTGTTTTAGATCCAGGGGGCACAGTAAACGCAGTTAATTGAAATATGAATGGTTCACCATTCGTGCCTACATCTGTGTTACCATTATCTTCATTTGCGAATTGAAGCAAAACATCCACAGCAGAATTCCTGACATTATGGAAGTAAAGTAACCTTTGTGAGATGTCTCCCACAAGCGTAGGAGGAAATACGATTTCTTTAATAGCAGAGCCCTCTCGGTTGTTTGTTTCAGCTAAGTTTGTATCAGTTGTTATGAGGAGATCAGTCTCAGTGCAGAAACCTTTCAGATTGATCGTTAATTTGTTTACCTCACAGAAAAGGCTTATGTCGTCATAAAAGATGCCATACTCTCTCGGTTTAAATTGAAAAAAGATATGATCAACTTGATTTGGTTCTAAGACCTCAGCTGGTGGGCGCACCATACTGAAATTCGACATTGGTGAAAAGGGTTGTAATTGAAAAGTCACTGGTATATCACTGTTGTTTTTTATCAAGCATGACTTAGTTACTGCCTGACCAATTGGAACTTCACCAAAGTTGAGTTCTACACAGCAACCCAGTGGTTTCAATGATGAAGTTGGCTTATGTGTGATGTCAGGCAGATTTGATCCTATTGCGCTAGTTTGCTTGGTTGGGAGTTGTTGATATGTTGACTTGGACAAAACGCTTTCACCATTTACAGCCTCAGCTACAGTAATTTCTGGAAAAATAACGGTGCAATCAATAGCGATAAAAACGTTTTCAATGTGCGCTTCATTCGAATTGCATTGAATTTTCACAATCCGGTGTCGAGCTAATCGAGAGCTTACGCTTTTATCCCAATTAGCAAATACAGATAGAAAATCATCGACCGATAGTGTATTTGAGGCAATACTTGGGCAATTCTTTAAAGGGTTTGACCTTTGCTTGTGCAAAGTTATCGATAATGTTTTCTCTAACTCCTCCTTCTTTGTATCTGGCTTTCGGGGCTCAAAGAAGACCATGATGGGTATGCTCTCTCTGGGTCGTAGAACTCCTGTGGATGGCGAAACAAATACAAATTCCGATGAGGTGCTGAAGTGAAATTCTTGGCATTCATCTGAATTATTTGTCAATACTGTTGACGCAGAAATACAACCACCAAATGGGCAAGCAGGCAGAAATATTGTACTTTCTGAAAAAAGAAGCACTGGCTCATGTGCATAGCCAGAAAGTTTCAAAGTGACTCGGTCCCCATATACATTTCGAAGTATCAAAAATGAATCGATCTTTCCCGGGTTTGATGGTCTGAAAAAAAATTGAAACTGGAAGCGTTCTTTGGGAAACAATGTGACTTTCCGTGGGATAACTACAATGTTGCTAGGTAAATTTGTGCACTCGATCTCTTGTGGTAAATCTGAAGGGTTCTCTGCTACAAAATAGTAACATTTCTCTTCATTGATAAACATGGAACCGATATCAATGACCTGCTCATCGACATAGAACCCTCGATGCGTAAGTGAGGCTAATATTCTGACAGTTGCTGGAATCGATTGTCCCTTTGAATGCAGTTCGACTAGTATATCAACGTCAGATCCAATATGAACAGAAGGCGCAAACAAAACGTCATAGGAAAGGGAAGCATCGGGCTGAATTATTAAGGAAGCTGGTTCAAAGCGGACAACTTCCTTGAAATGTGCTGGAACCTTCGCTGTCACCACGGTTGGTAACGAAAGAGTATTTCGTACTTCAACTTTACTAGAGTAGACGCTCCCGTAAAAACAGCAACGAAAGTCGATATCGCCACTGGACACAAAAACTGGGAGATCGGTTGATTTGCCCTTTAAGCTTATCGTCTTGTTTAGACAATCTCCCTTAATAAAAACGCTGCACAACATTTGACATCTTTCGAGAGGTGTAAACTCAAACTCGATTTTTTTCTCCGATAACGGTGGAATGTCGAACTTATATACATTAGGTAGAATCGACAAGAAATGTTTTCCCTCTTTTGTGAGTGGGTCTTTGTGAGTCTCTCTAACTACATTCTCGAAAGAGCCAGATATTTTCACTTTTCCAGAAAGTGATCCTTGATTCCGAATAGTTAAACCACGCTTTTTGTAATCTCCTATTGTAACTGTGCCAAAGTCTATTTCGTCGACACTAATGCTAAGTGCAGGCTGCTTCGGCCTTGCTTGTAGCAATATATTTAAGAGCGACCCATCGTCTATCTTTAAATTAAGTTCTCCATTGACAAATACATCACTATTAGGCGTAAATAATACAGTTATAGTCCACTGCAAGCCTGGCGATATCGCAGGTGAAACGTTTGAATCTACAGCAAAAAAAAATTGATATTGAGGAGAAATTGGTAATACGCGAATTCTCCTGAGCTTATTGGTACAATTCGTGACAGACACTTTGGATGAGTAAGTTTTACCTGGCTCGAAATCTAAAAACTGTACAGTTTCTGGTAATACAGAAAAAGATGCCTTGCCATTTGCAATTGCATTATTCTTCAAGCCATTTGTAAGTAACTTGCTGTAGATTTCTTGCAAGCCTGGGGGCTTAATTTTGGAATTACCTACCTCCTTCGAGATAGGAAAGTCTGCAATAAACTCATCCTCAACATCCTTAGTATACTGTTGTTGAAAGAGAATACCATTTTCATCAACAATAAGATCCATCACGTTTTAAAACCAATAAAAAACATTAATGTGCGGTAAAGCCCTTAAAAGCACTGACATTCAAAAGAAGCACTAGAGGGAAAAAAGGAGATAAATCATTCCAGACTACCAAAAAAAAGCTGTACCATTCATGGATCAAAAAATTATAGTACTACTCATCTTGCATTTCAGGAACACACTCCAACAACCCTTCATATCAGCTAGGAACTAAAGGATGACAGACAAAAGTCGCAAATAGCAATACAGCGCCTCAACTTCACACTACCATCACTATAACACATTTCCCTAACACCCCACTAGAGTATCAAAGCAAAATTTTATCTAATCTAAAAGCAGCCTGTTGTATTAAGGTTGGGGGCATTCGTTTTCGTTAGCCTTCATGTTGCCTTTTTCCCTGCCCCCCCCCTCTCTCATCTCAAAAAAATCATCCTTTTCGAAACCTTCCCCCGCAGTGGGATTACACCGAAACGAACCACACCCAAGGTTGTCCTCCAATGGAACAAACTAAAATTAGTGAGACAATAACCCATCCGTAGGGCTTTATTCATGTGCATCGAACCATTGTCCAGCCTCGTCGGCCCTACCAGGTCCCCCCCCCCCCGTGGGCAAGGCGACCCCGCTGGAAAGCTCCCAGCATGAGGAATACGATGCCCCACTCTTCTCAGATAGCAAAACGCAATGTCTGGCCATTTCTGGCGCTCCTGTTGCGCGAATCCCCCTCCTATAAAAAAGCCACACCACACCGGGCAGCCAGACACACAATATCGGGAAGGAATGAAAAAGTCAAAGTCAACAAAACGATAGTTATGCCTGAGAAGAAGTAGCAATACCAGGCGCTATGTATTGCGATAAAAATAGTTTGTCATCTTCGTTAATTTTCTCTAGAATCCTACTGGCCGCCAATTCCCCATGGGGGGGGGGGCGCCCAGCGCCGGCCCCGCGCCCGAATGGTTCAGTTATAGCCATCGATTTGTATCACTTAAAA